TTGTGTAGAGAAGGGACCAGTGGGCAGTCAGAGCCAATAGCCAGACATTAACTTTCTGTATCTTCCTGAGAAGGCACGTCTCTAGCAGAACAAAAGAAAACATTTCTCTGAGTAAGCCTTGAACTAAACTGATGCTTCTTGTCCTTACATGAAGATCATCTGAAAACCCATGGTCTATAAACAGTATCTTCATAAAAAATTTATTTTGCCTTGTTGAAAAAAGAGGGTGCTGCCCTGGTTGGTTTGGCTCAGTGGACAGAATGTCAAACTGCAGACTGGAAGGTCTTGGGTTCGATTCCGGTCAGGGGCACATGCCCGGGTTGCGGCCTCCATCCCCATTAGGGTGTGTGCAGGAGGCAGCCAATCAATGATTATCTCTCATCATTGATGTTTCTCTCTCTCTCTCTCTCTCTCTCTCTCTCTCTCTCTCTTTCTCCCTCTCCCTTCTTCTCAAAAATCAATAAAGATATATTAAAAAAGAAAAAAAAAAGAAAAAAGAGGGTACTATCTATTAAAACACTTGTCTGAGGTGTTTAAAAGAAAATTAAAATGCAAAAATAACTGACTAAATGTGACTCAGTTCTGCCAATATAAATGCAATTAATCTCATTAACTGTTTTACACTTAGAAAACTTTTTGGTTATGCAGTATTTAATACATGCAAGAGAATACATTAGCATATTTGTCAGAGGAAAATAACATTAAAATCAGTAATTATAAACCCGCTACCCAACCTAAAGGGCAGACCATCACTGCTGAGCCATGCAGCTCTCTGAGCGCTCCTTTCTGTCTGACTGAGGCCGACAACCACTTCTTTCTGAAAGTCCTTGGTTCAAGATGGGACTTTAATAATACATTAACCCTGTGCCTTTTGAAATCAAAGTGGAGAAGTGGTCAGAAGTAACAAACCAGAAAACAGCTGATTCATAATCATGAAAGAAGGGAATAGCTCTGTGTATGGTCTTAACCCAGAAACTGCTCGTCAGACAGACCTGTCGGAACTTTTGGTTTCACTCATGGCCCAAAGCCAGAACTAGTCACTGGGAATATAAAAGTAAGTTAGATCTCCTTAACATCTGCCAGATTACTAGACATGTGACCTGATGTATGACTGGCAAACTCCAAATTATTCCAAATTGAGGTAAGGTATGACTAAGCCCAGACAAACTGGTTCTCCCATGCAGAGACTTAAACAGACAGACACAATAAAAATCAAATAAGAAAGAAAAGAAAAGGAGCACTCTGACTAATAATGAACTCCACTTTATATCATGGAAAAAAGAACCAATAACTTGAGGGGGGAAATCAAATAAAACAGTCAACAGTTTACTAAGAGTTTAATTTGTTGTACTAGTGTGTTAACCAATTTATATTATGGGGAAAATTTTAAGGTATGTCATCTGTGAGGTTGAAGAGTTTACAATATATGCCAAAAGAAAGGACATACACTCTAAACTATGAATTGTTTCACTAAAAATACAAATGGAGAATAAAGAAGTCTAGCATGTGTTACAAATTAAATTATAGCAAATATATGCTAAGGAGGAAAGGGAAAGGGAAGCTTAACTAAAGGGAAGTAATGACACAAAGACCCTGCACAGTAATTGGATAAGTGCACCACTATTCCATAAACAAAGATGTCCATCACAGGGAAAAGTAAAACAACTAAAATGCCCACTAATAAGGAACGAGTTAAATACATTATAAACCACCTATGTATGGAATGCTATCTCACACTAACAAAAATGATGTAGATGAATATTTGTTGATGTGGCATGGTCTCGGTATATTGTCAATCAAATCAGGGTTCTAAACAATATAACAACCCATTTTAGGGAGAAAAATCATGTGTATCTAATCTAGGCATAGAGAGAACATGGCAGAATACACACAAAAAACAATAATGGTTTCTCTGGGTAATGATAATTTTGATGAGTTTTCTACTGTTAATAATTTTTAAAGTTCTTTCCAATTAGCACTGTTAATTTTTAAAAGGTATTTTAATCAAAAGGCATTAATCATTACATACCCAATTCAAATGTCATCGGCTCCTGAAACCCTCCCACTCATCTGTCTGTTTCCAGAGTATTTAATACAGGGTGGGGCCAAAGTAGGTTTACAATTGTTCATATGAAAAAGAATACAATAATTAATACATAATTATACAATAACTGTGTTTCAGATACCCACAACTGTAAAATTACTTTTGTCCCAGCTTGTATATGTCTTAGAGCACCAACCACATTTGTTTTAAAGTTATAACTTCCTATGTTCAGGCTTGATTATCAACTCTCAAAATGGAGTAAACCTGTCTCATCTGTACTGAAATTCACCCTCACAACCAAGATTCCCAAATACCCAGCACACTACTGAGTGTGTTGATTTAAACCTAATGCCAGACTGTAAAATTTACATATTTGAAGACCACACACCTGACAGTTCTCTAACCAAAAATTCATCTATGCTGGGGGTGTTCAGAAATAGCATCAGGTCCATTCTGGGAAGAGAAATTATAAATCAAAATATTTCTCTGTTAATTATTACCTCCACGTTTACTTTTCAAGTTACCAAAGATACCCTTATTCAACTCAATTAAGACAGAGGTCAGTATTTCCTAACCCAGAGGCAAGTCTCTCAGATTTCTATTCACGAGTTTCCGCTTGAAATGAACAAGAATTACTTTTGCAATAATCCAAGTCCATCCCCAACTCAGTAGGAACTGTAAGTACCTATTGAGTTAGGAAGAAATAAGGAAAATAAATGTTTTAAGATTACATAAGAGAATTGACATAAATGGGTATCTTGAAATATCCAAGGCATTTTTTGAAAGGTTCAATAAAAAAATGTGTTTTGAAAACTAGGTGGGTGAGATTTGAAATAAAAACAACCACTACAATCATAGCTGTTACTTAGCAATTTCAGGCTTCAATTGTTCCCTTCTAAAGGGCAAGTCAGAAAACCGAAGAAACTGCTTCTAAAAGAAACACTGAGAGACCTAATCCAGTTTCCTTTCTTCCATTTTATTCCCTAGCATTTTAATCAAGCCCCTGTGAACTTTAAACTGCCAGATTTAGTTTTGTTTCTCTCTCTCTCTCTGAAGACAATTCACTTTCATTAAAACTTAATTTCTGAATCAAAAAGCAAAGCCTCACACGGAAGTTAGTCAGGAGGAACCCTGGCTTCTAGGCCCTGTTGTGTCACTACTGGAGGAAATGGAGATGCGAGAGAGCACAGGGAAGGGAGAGGAGGATGTTCAAAAGAGACTGACTTATCCCCAAGCACTGCCACTCCACAGCCATGAGGGGGGGGGGGGGGGGGGGGGGGGGGGGGGGGTGCCAGGGGCCGGTTACAAACTGAGAACTCCAGTTACACTCGTAGGAAAAGTGGCTTAACTTATGAATTGGCCTCAGCACTGACTGAGAACTCCAGTCACACTCTTAAGGTAAGTGGCTTCACTAATGAATTGGCCTCAGCACTGATCTTCAATTCCAGAAGCTCTGTGAGCATGACAACCTGAGTTGACAAGCAAGGATTCAAAACCAAACCTTGCTTTTATCAACCCAACCAAAGTCATACCACCACGGCTGAGATGATCACTGATAACTGTGGCTCAACTGGAGCCAGCCCACCAGAGTCAACTATCATCTTCTCAGGATTTGGGGCAAGCCAGTTGTTAAACACAGCCATCATTAAAAGTCAAATTATATAAACATACAATTGAAATAAACTATATAAAAACAAAGATAATAAACACTCAAAACTCGCCACTTCCTATTTCCTATCACCTTTGCTCTAGATGTTATTTGAAACTATTTGATCTGGTTGGTAGATAACTCTGTAACGGTGTGCTTCTGCACATCACTTCCCGACTGTGCTTGTGGTGACTTTTGTCGAAATCAGCCACGATGGGAATATTTACACCATAGAAACCAGCAAACACTACAACCCTCTCCTCTCTCCTTCCAGCGGGCCAGGTCTTAACCCACCATTGCTTGGTAGCAGTTAAAGAAGTTGAGCTGGTCCATCTTTTGAGTCAAAACAAAGGCTTGTAAACTGTAAGTCATGATACAAATATAATACTGTGGTTCTATGATGTACCAGTTATGACACAAAGTCTTTCATCTGGGTATTGACTCATATCAAATCTAATGCACAACGACTCAACCGACTTTCAGAGACTGAGTAACTACTAAAAGCACAGAGCACGAGTCAGGACTATGAATGTCTGACTCAAAAATGTATAATCTTTCCACTAGACGACCACGTATTAACATTATCATTATCATAATGAAACCAAAATCGACCACATAAAACTGCCTGATAGTTAGCAAACATTAGTAGCTTCTAATGCAGCCATGGGCAAACTACGGCCCGTTTGAAATGAATAAAACTAAAAAAAAAAAAGACCGTACCCTTTTATGTAATGATGTTTACTTTGAATTTATATTAGTTCACACAAACACTCCATCCATGCTTTTGTTCCGGCCCTCCGGTCCAGTTTAAGAACCCATTGTGGCCCTCGAGTCAAAAAGTTTGCCCACCCCTGTTCTAATGTGTAAAAATCACATACACAAAGAAGAATATGTGGAAGGTGTAAACAAAGAGCTCAGTTTTATTCATATTCACTGTTTATTGATTATCTACCTCCAAAATGTAATCACAAAGTAGAGGAAAGAAATGGCGCCCACAGCACCAACAGGACTAAGAAAATGTGTATTTGAGAGATATACTATAAAAGGATTCCTCTTTTAATCCTTTAAATACTTATGCTCTACCCAAACTAATGTACCCAACAACTTAAAATGACACACTCTGCCAGGAAAGAATAATTTCTCAAATGCTAGCATAAGTTTTTGAAGTACTTTTGCTTTTTACTTTTAAATATTTGCTCCCTTAGACTTTGAAGTTATTTGATTGTGCTATTCTTTTACCATGGATTCTTATAGAAAATTCACCTGATAGTCAAAGGAATTCTGAAAGGTTAACAAATCTTTACTTACTGATTATTTAAAAAAATTCTTGTCATCTTGGCTTCCTATGAGTTACCGGCTTCTCCCATTGTTCCAGTACATTTCCATCACCTGTCACAAGGAGAAAGAATCTGATTAGTTGTATGTCTCATAGAGACCATTTCTTGGTATCTATGTTAGTTTTTTCCTTTCTTTATACCCAAAACACATTTGTCTCTTCCTTGCTCTTCTAAATCAGAAAGAAAGATCACCCCAGGAGAAAAAAAAGATTTAAAGAGCAGTATTTCTACTGTTGGGGTTTGGAATGGAGAACCCCTAAAATACCCACTCTTACGTTTTTGGGAAGAGATTCTTAGTCTGTTTCCTGGGTGGGAGCAGTATTAAAGGAACCCACTTTCTGTCTTTCCTCCCCAACTCCTTCCTTCCTTCTTCTCAAAAGCAAGTGACTAATTTCTAGAGAGGACTAGGAAAACAACTGGCCACTGCACCCAGCGAGGCAGCAAGGGCCCCCTGGAGCCAGCTCACCTCCACACGGTAATCAGGACAAGGGCTGCCTGCTCCCGAGAGGGCCAGCAGCTCTCTGTCCCGGCTGATGTCAGGGTTGCTGGGTCCAATGCAAGTTTTAGAGAGGAAGTAACTGAACTGTGCTATCTAATTCTGCTTTATCAGTAATTACATTACTATCTGTGTTGATTCCCATTTGGGTCCTTGCTCTGTTTCTCGAATTGTTGAAAACTTAAAGAATAGGAAAGGTGAATAATTAGGCCATCCAAACCACCAAAGGACAATGCACAGGTAAAACCTTGGTTTAAAGCCCTACCACTAAGTAGCCTTGGGAAAATAATTTCATCTTTTCCCAGCCTCAATTTCATTTCTGAAAAAGGATCAAATGCTCCCTATGATACTGTGTGGATGAATGATAACATCTGCCAGAGTCAGGCATGCTTTGATCCAACAAGGACAGTATCCCAGCACCAGGAACACCCAATGCCCAATGAGTAGACTTGCTACTCTGTCCATATGTCCCACTCAAGCACTGGAGATTTAAAATTCATGAAATAATGGAATATGCCCAGCAAAGTGCCTTCCTTTTTCAAAGAGGAAATCATTCAGAATATTTTACTTTTTTAATTTCATAACATTATAGGGTCTACGACCTAGGGATAGAAGTGCTGTTGTCTTTCCCTTCACCGAAGAGAACCAAAGGAAGACACTCAACTCCTACCAGGCAGGATGCAACTATCACTCGTTTTATATGAAGAACATTTGGCTCCAAGTAGACAACACATAAAATAAAAACCTACCACCTTTCCTCGCCTGAAGCCTCAGTGTTAAGTCCTTCAGAAAGATTAATAATGACTGTACAATGGCTCCATACACTGATGTTCCATGAGAGACAGTGTCGCTTCAGTTATAGAAGAGACAGAAACCTCAAGTTATCCAAACCATTAGGGTGTGTGTGTTTGTGCATGTAACAAAAAGAAGGCAGAGAATGAAGCAAACACCACATAAATCCAGAGTGTCCTAGTAACAAAGAAAGAACTTGCCAAGGTCAATAAAAACAGCAGGGAAAGACTGACGAGTCAAAGGCTCGTAAGATTACACCCAGCACTGAAAGGAACATGCTCATGACAAGCTATAGCTTTGGATGCCTGGTCACTTGGCATGGAAGTCTTCTAAATGATGGGAAATGCAGAAGGCTTTGTTATAGGTTTAAAATAAATAGGCTTGGATTCCACCTCTGCTATTTAACTGCAGTGTGGTCTTTGCCAGGTAATTTAATCCTGCTAATCTTCCGTTTCCAAGTCTGTAAAATAAGGACAATAATACATACCTCGGAGAGTAGTTATTTAGATTAGAGATGATGCATTACAATGCCCATCACAGAATACCTGGTATGTTCCCAAAATGTAATTGCAATTATTATTTTTACTAGTCCAAGTAAGACAGTCTATAAAATTCATGGTAACCATTGCAATTATGGTATACAGTCCATTAAATTCAGACTCTGTCCCTATGTGACCATTTTAGAGAGAGGTTCAAATCACACTTTTGACAACAATATAAAACTTTTCTATGTTGTTGTGAAGTGTTAAATAAAAATCCCCATCTTAGTTGATAGTCTTCACTAATGTGGAAACAGAAAGCTCTAGCTATGCATATGTTAGCATTCTTCTCACAAGTACTGAGTGTTTTTTATTATAAATTCCTGAAAGAACTGAATCATTTCCCTCAGTGCTAATTCTTCTGCTGTACACCGTATGCCAAGAACTCAGCAGGCATCTGTGGGAGATGAAAGCCGCACTGAGAATGGCAGGCACCTATGACCCAGGCTAGCTTCACATTCAAGTCTCAGCAACAGTACGGATTTCTCAGCTATGTTTTTGTTTTTAAAAAAGACACAGGTGAGGCAATACCAACATTTAAACAGAACTTTCTATCTAAAAAGAAGTTCATTTTGAAAATGATGCCACACTATTCTAATAAAAAGTATTATTTTTTTATTGAAAAAAGAAAATAAAGTGTTCGTTGACTTCTTCAAAGTCATCCTCTTTAGAACTCACTCCAATGATGCTGATGCTCAGAATAAGTTGAGTACTCTTCTTTTCCCTTCAAAGCCAGTGTACAGTTATTGCCCTCAAGAAAATCTGTCTCATTACAGGTTAGTCACTCCTGAATTCTAAACAAAACCACTTTATTTTCTACTATACTGTGTGGATGAAAGTAGAAAATATTTTAATAGGCTCAAGGAATCAAGTTCATCCTCAAAGATGATAATTCCCCACCACAATGGGTATTCAAAAAAATTATAAAGTGACTTCAACACCGGACTTGAATGAACTAACCATTTGGCAGAAGTCCTAAAGGTAGGGACGAGGTTATATGGTGGTTGAGATGACGTTCATTTTTTTAAAAATGCAGTGCAATGGCAGCTTCAACAGAATGTAAGCAATTAACTTAGCTGATGCATTTAAAGGGAATGATCTGAATGTACATGTCCTGGGTGGGATTATTAAAAGCCCAGTACTTCTTAGTCATGCTTCATATACAATGTTGAGATCCACAACAGTCACACAAAAACCTGGCTAAAAAGAATACACTCCTTTTTGGATGGATGGTCTCTCCTCTAGGGCGAGGCCAAGACTGTTCCCCAAGGTGTTAGGAGACGGGTGGGCATCAAAAGCAAGAGCATTTCAGGCGAAGAGGCTGGAGGATGGCATCTGCCTTAGGGCTGCACCCACCAGACATGACTGCTTTGGATTCTTAGGCTCTTGTCTCCTGAGGAGTTAGCTCACTCAGCGGGTTTGGGCTGCCGCTATGGAAGGCAGTGCCCTGCGAGCATGAAGAGCATGTGTTCTGCAATCACACAGAACTGCATTCCTCAGTCTGCCCCGAACACCTTGAGCATGTTGTTTAATTTATTAAGCCTCAGTTTCTTCATCTTCAGAATGGGAGTAATAGTAGTACTACAACTTAATACTGATATACGGGTTAAAAGACATAATGCCTGCAAACAATTTAAGACAGCTCAGCAAACAATAAGTGCTTATTAAACGTTATTGATACTGCAAGAAGAACACTATCCTCATCCTGAGGAGGCAAAGCAAGTACCAGGTGATGATGATGTCAATAAAAGAAGAGCTAGTCTCCTAAACTCAAATATGTTCCTGCCCACTCCACCAGGAGACCAGAAATGGCTTGAGGTAGTTGTACTTCGCAATAAAGCGCAAATTGCCCCTATAACTGCATATGCATCTTGGGTGAGAGTGGCACCAGCTTGTTGGCCGGTGGAAAAATAAAAAATGTAAATACCAGCCATAGAGACACAAAATGAATTCTCTTGCTCGAGACTCCTCAGATAATAAAGGGCACAGCTGAGATTCACACCAGGCGGTGTGGCTTCAGTCCTTGCTCTCAACCACTGAACAACAGTGTCTCCTCTGCAAAGAGAAAGAGCATAAGCCACATTATGACTTAGAAACACCTGCTAGGGAAGTTGTCACACACTCACAATACCAGCTGTCAGGGGAGGGCCTGGTAGCAAGAGAGTTGTCATCAAGGCAGAGTTTCTGATATCCTTTTCTTGCATTTCTACAGCCAAAAGGAAAAGTCACCCAGGGTTGTTGAATTCTCTGAAGGTCAGAAGGAGTGAAGAAGACAGAAGGGATAGAAAACGTGCTCCTGGTTAAGTAGGAGAATGCACAGAGAGGAGACTAAAGGGGAAGAGAAGCCATATTCCTGCCAGCCTCAGATGTGGCTGGCTCTACCTAGAATGGCCCCCAGGGCCCTTGTCTCTTACGATATATCCCCTTGAGTGGGGGTGGGGCCTGTGATTTGCTTCTGGATGGTAGAATAAGGTAAAAATGATGGAATCCATGTGGTTATATCACATACTATTGTAATGTCGTGCTGCTGCAAGATCCCATCCCTTGCTGACTCTGAAGAAGCCAGGGGCCACGTGGAGAGCTGCCTAGAGTGAGAGCCACGTGAGGACAGCCTCCAGCTGAGAGTTAACAAGTAACTGAGGCCCTCAGCCTGAGAGCCCACAAGAAGCTGACAACCATCAGATGAGTTTAGAAGCAAACCCTTTCCCAGTCGAGCCTCAGATAAGACAAAAGCCCGATGGACCTCTGACTGCAGCCTTACAAAGCACCTAACTAAGCCACGGCCAGGCTCGGGGCCGCAGGAACCGGGAGGTAGCCTGTGCACCGAGTAAGCTGGGAGTGTGCAGTGCTGCTGCTCTGCAGAAACAGATGACTAATGCAGAGGGGAAGTGAGGGATCCCCGATTCGTCCTTCTGAGAGAGGAGGGGAAGGAAGAGGAAGGCTCAAAGGCCGGGCCTGGGAGAGTGATCCAGGAATAGAAATGACTATTTTCTAGACTTATCATTTGATCTTCCCTTTCCTCTCAAAAATGCAGTGCTTCTGGTTTTAAAACTACATTTAAAAGGGCTCTCATTCAGTAATATTGATTGTGTGCTCTATTTTAAAGCAGCTAATTTAAACTTCATGCTTTCTTATTCAAGTTGTATTAGTAAGAACCATTTCTTTAGTGTTACCTGAGCAAAAACTTCAAAATAAAAAACAAAAGACGTATTCCCCAATAAATTT